ACCCGTTGCTCAAAGGTTCCTAATCGCCACAGAGCGGAGATGTTAAGAGTGACCTTTGCTCGCAGGTCAACGCAGCCTACAAGACTGGTGCCAGGAAATGACAGGCGAAGCGAAAGCGTTCAGTATGATTTTAGAACAATCAGCTACAGATTGCAGCTAATCTAGAATATTTTGAGGATATCACTATTTCTTCAGTACGCGTCAAACAGTAAAATGTAAGCTCTCATAGGTTTGTCCCAGAGAATTAGGAAGCTGTACAAAGAATTACTAGCAGTATAGAGATGAGAATACCACGAGGCAGAACAAGACGACGGAGAGAAAATGTCCAGAGATAGCTAGCTGCAAATTCTTAGTGTCACCAACAGGAAAGAAAAGATACAGATAGTTGAGTGTAAGCGGGTGATACCTGCAGCAATGAACCTTCAAGGGCTCGCAATGCTGATGAAAAAGAAGAAGATAGAGATGAGAATATACAACTGCATCTATTCAACATTACCCGTTCAAACATTCATCTCCGCTGTACATGTTTACAGAACCTCAATCATTCACACACTTCATTGACTGAAACATTCCTCAACTAAAAGCTGCACAAAATAGTTTTCAAAAAGTGTTTCTCGGCGTAAGTGTCTGGGGGACGGAATAAATACCAGCGACATATTGGTTTACAGACAAATGGACAGAACTGTCTGGCGGGGAGAAAGATGAAATACCGTTCTCAGTAAACGAGAGGATGTGTGTAAAGCTAAACCAACACATTTGGTTGGGGGTGTGTGTTTCGAAATATGAAACCTCACTCATGGGTGTTACCATCACGCAAGTTGCAAGAAAGCAAAATGCCCCCCCCCCCCTCTTCAGGTGTATCTCTTGGTGGGTTATGTGGTCAGCATCACGCCGGTCACCTTTACTTCCCTGGACTGTGCGTGCTACCCACTCAACATGCGGGGAAATTCAGCTGCACAGCTCATCAGATCACGATCGTCTATAAATAAGCATGATGAGGGTTAGTTTAGGTAGGGCCTTTACTTCATCTAGAGAAGGAGGAGGAGTAGAACAACAACAGTAACAACAACAAGACCAAGACGAAGAAGAGAATCAGCTGAAACAGCAGCAGCAAATAAACAATGTGTAGGCGTCAGTCGTGTTACAGAAGAAAGGCGAATAGCAGAGGTGCAAGGCTCAATCAGGAGATAACGATCAACAAACTGGTGGGAAAAAGGATGATGTCGATCTAAGCCGTCACTGCGAGCGCCAGTTTGCTGGAGATCACACTAGACCTCTGATGTAAAGCCGATAGCTAACGCCGTATTAACAATGTCCTTGAGACTAGGAAAATGGTCCTTGTGTGTGGAAACACAACAGGTGTTTCACAGTGCCGGGCATATATTTGTATGGAGGCATAAACGAGTGTTGGTTGAAGTACGTGTAGATTAGCAACACGAGAAATGATAGTGGCGAAAAGATCAATGTGTAGATGTAACAAGACGAGAAATAATGCTAAATGATGACACAAAACTGCCCTAGAACAAGAGGCAGACCGAGAGTACTATGGATAGACAATATATCAGAGATTCTGAGGCAACACGGACTAACAACAACACGTGCAACACACCTGGTCCAGGATAGAAAACTGCGACTCCCCACTACGCTGTGAGGCAATTGTGGACAAGACAAGACAAGACAAGATGACACAACGTGTAGATGTAACAACACGATAAATAATGCTAGATGAAGACACAGTGTGTAGATATAACAACACGAGAAATAATGCTAGATGAAGACACAGTTTGTAGATATAACAACACGAGAAATAATGCTAGATGAAGACACAGTGTGTAGATGTAACAACACGAGAAATAAAGGCAGATGAAGACACAGTGTGTAGATGTTACAACACAAGAAATCAGAAAAGAAAAATGAGAGATAAATCGCAAATGAAAACGGAAATAACACTGAAGTAATTATATTCATGCATTAAAATAAAGGGCCACGATAGGCCATAAATAAGCTAGTAAATAAATACACGGAACCTAATGCAGAGCCTGGAGAATTAGAAACTTGAAGCCAGTTGAAGATGTGCCATAACGAAATTCTACATAATAATCAGGCGTATTAGCAGGAACGTTGCTAAAACGATAAGAAGTAACCGGATATTTGACAAGTCCTTCTCCATAATTATTATGATAAATCAGCTTTCTGTGTTTCAAAGCAAACCGCTCTGAGGCACATATTTGAAACGGCACAATGTCGTAGCAGGCTTAAATTGTTGGCATCGCGGCAGTAGCTTGAGTTCCCACAGAGCAATGGTACCACTGGTGTGTGAGCCTCAACAGTTCTGGAGTACAAGCACAATCTGCCAGGTTTGGAACTGAGAGCATAGATAGAGAGAATCAGGAGCATGTACAGAGCAGATAGGAAGGTATGTAGGTAGATTTGTAGGCAGATGTGCCGGCTTATATGTTGATAGATATGTAGGCAGATGTGTAGGTAGGTGATGTAGATAGATGAGTAGAAAGTAAGCACTTGTAACCATACTACAGTAACAAGTGAATGAAATAAAGCAATTAAATAAATCCTTCTAACGGAAGCAGACAATCAACTAAACTCAAAAAAAAAACAAAAAAACAAAACAAAAAACTGCTGGATTTACCAAGGCAAACGCAGGTTCACGACCATGTCGTTTTGTCTGCACAAATCAGGACGACAGCGATTTATTGTTGTGTCTTCGCGGTTGGTTGACGTACGCAGAATTCGAAATGAGCACAGCTAAAAGGATTCATTTATTTGCTTCACGATTATCAGTTGTTTCGGTAATAAAGGTACTAAACGTAAACATTGCCAGTCAAAACCAAAAACAGATAACAAAGGCTAGGGCTGGTACTGCAGTGTCCCGTACAGCAGTGTTCTTCCACCGGTGGACCGCGGCCCAAGTGAGGACAGGGAATGAATGTTGTGCCAAGGAGGGGATCTCCTGCAGTCGCCTTTCTGTCCATCCTTTTGTTAATCAGTCTTGCTGTTCTCTTTGCTTCACATGTAACCACGTCCTTGTGTAGAGCTGCACGCCATGTATTTCAGTCTTAAAAGGCAGCCTCCCAATTGGTGTCATTCATCCCAAATGCTTTGAGTGAAGAATTCAAGGTGTCCTTAAAGCGTTTCTTTCGCCTTGGGAACGTTTCGCATGTTGCAGCTCCCCATAGTAGAGTTTTGTTTTGTTTTTTGGGAACCTGTGATCTGGCATGGTACCACATGACCAGCCTACCGAATTTACATAATAATGTGACGGGATAGGGTAGGTAGTTTTTCACTTCTATGATTGCAGTTTGTAGGATTAACACATCAAGGGCGAGAATCAAACAATTACAAATACCGCAACAAACCTAGTCTATGTGCGTAAAACCGTTATTTTCGGGCACCCGAGCGGTTAAGAAGCCTGATAGTTAAGATGATTACGTTTTTGTATTTGGTTAGCTGTCCGGTCGTCCGTAAAACAATGTCCCCTGTTGTGGTTCGCCACCGGTGTAGACAGGTTGAAGAACACTGCAGTAAACGATACGCATCTAACTGTAAAATGCACTCGATGAGTTACAGCCATATGTGTCAAACTGTGCAGATATTGTTTATGTCTCCTTTGTTCACCCATACATCGGGGAAATATTGCTTTGACTTGAACAAGCAGTTAGTTACGTACACTCTTAGGAATGTATGCAGGTGTGCAGATACGAGCAAGTCTAGATAAATATAGCAGATATCTAACGGGGTATTTGGACAGTAGCTGGGTAGGTGGGTAAGCAAGGAAGCATGTAGTTAGGTAGGCAGATAATTGGAGGCTGGATTTTAGATAAGCAGTTGTACATCATCCATGCAATCCATTCAAACATATATTTAACCAATCCTCCGTGCATCCAGCCACTCATCTACCTACAAATTCAATCATTCACCCATCCATCCAACCAACAAATCATCCATTCATTAAATAGTGCACCCAATCAATCATTATCCATTCATCAAATAGTGTATCCAATCAATCACCAGCCATTGATCAAATAGTGCATCCGATTAATCATCATCCATTGATCAAATAGTGCATCCGATTAATCATCATCCATTCATCAAATAGTGCATCCGATTAATCATCATCCATTCATCAAATAGTGCATCCAAACAATCATCATCCATTCATCAAATAGTGCATCCAAACAATCATCATCCATTCATCAAATAGGGCATCCAATCAATTATCAGCCATTCATCAAATAGGGCATCTAATCAATTATCAGCCATTCATCAATTAGGGCATCTAATCAATTATCAGCCATTCATCAATTAGGGCATCCAATCAATTATCAGCCATTCATCAAATAGGGCATCCAATCATCTATTATCCATCACCAAGTATGCCACTCCCCCAATCAATCATCCATCCCATTCGTCCACCCAACGATGTACCCATGAATCGTCGCAGACGTACAGACACACAGACACATATACATGCACACACATATAGGCTGGAGATACAGAAAGACAGACAGACAAGACATAAAACCCTCATCTATAGGTAGACCCGGTAGACAGAAAGACAGAAAAACAGACACACGAACACAGACGCACCTTTAGGTAGTATAGGCGGTAGTTGGAAAGACAGAACAACACATGGACAGACAATGCGCACATTGTAAAGGAGCAGAATGGGAGACAGAAGAACAGAAGACAGACAGGCACACATATGAAGATGGATTAGTCCTAGATAAACAGAAGACGACGTAGACAGACAGATGTACAAAGATATAGTTAGACTATTCGGTAATTAGAAAGATAGAAGAACAGACAAAAGGGCAATTAGAATATGATATTGGGATACAGAGTAGACTGCAATCTGGTGACTGTTTCCCGATGACAACAAAATGTAACTAGAGAATACAAATTATTCCCCCTGTTTCCTTCACAGGCTGCTCCATCAATGGTCAAAGAAAGCTATCTTTGGAACACTTATCACTGGCTGCCTGATGGCCGTTTACTGCATCTCCTTGTCTGACATGAAACTGATGACCTCAACCTTAACCAGTGCCTGGAACCTGACCAATGGAAGGACATTGATGAGTTTGGTTTGGCTTTCCAACAAAAGCAGTGACGCGATGGCTGTCGAGGAAGAAGATGTCGATGAGGTCATGGAGTTGCCAACATTTGTGAGCCTGATGCAAAACAGATCTATTAAAAGTCAACCAGGTGTGTTACCCGAGGGCTTGGGTCACCTCAAGGGTGATTCCGAAAATACCATAAGCTCACTTCTAATTGACCCGACTAATAATGGCTCCACGGCCTTCACTGAAGAAGCGTTTTCAAAGACTTCGACCATGACTTTTAACCACACTGTAGTGGTACATTGCAAAGAATCGCCTTATATAGAATGCTTTCCTCCAGCTCTGAAACCAATTACCAACAACATTTTTAAGATTACATTCGTAAGACGACCGGTATGGCTCACAGAAGCTGCAATGAATTTGACAAATTGCAAATTCAATCAATGCACGATTCAGAAGGACAACGACACCAGTGATACAGACATAGTGATTATCTACGGGGTGGGACTACAGGACAGCTACCCCGTGCCTCGTCGAACCACACCACACCAGCTCTTCGCCATTTACCTCATGGAGTCGCCTGTCCACACACATGCCGGATTTATTCAAAGTAAGTAAGTCTCACTTGTTGCATTCTGTTTGTTTTATTTTCTCTTAAAATCTTCTTCTTCTTCTTTCGTCGTCTCACTGATACCAGTGAAATCGGCGAATCAGCCATGTGCACATGTGGATTGGCACCTAAGACAACAGATCATGTCCTCCAAGACTGTCCCAAATACAAAATATCAATGCAAAACGTTTGGCCAAGAGAAATATCGGCGCAAGTCAAACTTTACGGGTCATTGAGTGAATTACAAAAGACAGTGAAGTTCATACTAGAGACAATATTGCAGATATAGATAATATATTTCAAGCGAACGAAATGTACTAGAAGCAAAGCAGAGGGGATATCTTGTAATGGGATAAAGAGAAAAGATAACTATAAAGGATAATATGGAAATCTACTCCCAGAAATCGCCTCGACTCCGAACCTACAAGAATTTTAACAATGTGACATGGCGAGTGGGAGCCAAAACCCAACTTTAAGCTGCATCAGCAACAAGAAAAAAAAAAAAAAAAACAAGAAGAAAAAAAGTTCGTTTAGGCTACGGTAAGATCAAAACTATCTCACCCTGACAGGAAATCTTTTGTGTCATGGCTAGATCAGCCAAGTAACAAATACTAAACTAGGCACACTAACTACAAGTCCTAATCTGAACGAAAAAAAAAAAAACAACAACCGGGAACTATGATTACTACATTGAACATCTGTTTATTTCACTTAACATAAAATCAGCTTGGTCCACAAATAACACGAACAACAACCAACGTGCTCGACCAGAATCTAAAGCGATCATCAGCTAACAAGGAAATATGATAATGACACCATACGCTCAGCGAAATGACCTCAAGAAAGACACAAAAATTTAGAGGTGGCTTGAGTGATTGATTTATTCATCTTTTTGCAGGTTTCAGCTACACCATTTGTCCATCTCTCTCTTGGTCTTCCCCTCGCCTTCCTCCCATTTGATAAAAAAAAAAAAAAAAAAATCAGAAATAATCTCTTATACAGTTTTGGTCTGGCTGCATTCTGACTAGATAGTCGAACGATCTCACCCTTTGCCTGTCAATATAATTCAGACATAGTCTTATTACTATTTTTTTTTTCTAGTGCTGGTATTTGTAACCCTGCCCTTCTAGTGTTGTTAGTGACCTTTGGGAAACTGCATTTTATATACAGTTATTTTCTGTTCTAGTGCTCTAATTATTGTCCTTGTTTGGCACTGATAGCATAATACAGGGGTAAAGGAGATATGAATCTTTACTGTTTTGCTGTGAAGGAGACATTTGTGACCTAAGCAGCGGGGCTAACTGGTAGGTGACAGAATTTGCCTTCTGTACTCTAGCTTCTATCTCTCTATCAAGTCTGCCATCTTCTATACATATGCTTCCTAAATATTTGAATTCTAATATTTTTTAAATTAAATTACCGCTTACATGAACGTTCATGGTATTACGTTTCCTGTATATTCTCATGACCTCAATTTTCTTGGTGTTTATTTTTATGAGTCAAGGGGACTGTGTGTGGATTCTTGTCTTCTCCATATCTGGTAGCAGATTCTTGATGCTGGAGTTTATTGGATCTTCTTCTTTTTGTTTACCCTATTTCAGGGACTCACAGATTTCGTATGAATTTCTCAGGAAAGTCCAACAATATATTTGTGTTTTAAAAAAATGTATTTGCCCATCCTTTACAGGACTTTGCAGAACCAACCCCAGCAGTTTTTAACTGGTGTGGGTTTTTTTTAGGTAAATTTACGTCTAGTAGTTTGCTATTGCTTTCTAGACGGTCGGCTCCTTGATACCACTGTCGAAGCCAACGAAGACCCAAGGCCCGCAGCTGGGATTAAACCCAGCACCTGGGCATTGTGAAGCGCGTTCACAACGACTAAGCCACAGACGCCAACACAAGGGTGGTATGGTGTGACACCGACTAACATTAATTCTTACACAAAGGACCTGCTACATGATGATGATGATTACCATTGATAGGTCGGCGTCTGTGGCTTAGACGTTGCGAACGGGCTTCGTGATGCTGGGGTGCTGGGTTCGATCCCAGCTGCAAACGATTTGTCTTGCGTGGGTTTCGACAGTGGTACCGCGAGCTGACCGTACAGTAGACAATGGCAAACTACTGTACGTAAAATTTACCTTCTATAAAAACTACAACAGCCACACACACACACAAAAAATATAAAAAAATGCTAGAGTTGGTTCTGCAACTTTCTATAAGGGATACGTAACCAACTCAACCTTTTACATAGGAGAAGGATATCAGGGTCCGTGTTGCACGAAGGATAGAAATCAGGAAGGAAATAATGATCGAGGAGAAAATTATTGCAGACAGGTTTAGAACTGAGTTCCCCTTGAGTCGAGTTGAGTCAAGAATTGACATCTCATCACTAGTGGCATTCCCATGCATCCTCCATTCTCATCTTCAGCAGCCAGCACAGAGTTCCAATACTAATGGTACCGGTCACAATCTGGTTGTATGTCCGTCTTGCCTTTCCTCTGAGTGTAGTGAGCCGGCCAGACTCTCTGGTTACACCCAGGTGCCTCATTCTCTCCAGGCCATAATAATCTTGTTTCTCTACTGATTCCGTTGCTTGTTCCTAAAGGGCCTTGACCACATCTGCCTTGTTGTGTATCTGTTCACCACCTACTGGTGCAGATCCAGCCAGTCTGTCTTTCTCTCTCCATTCTGTCTTCCCTTGTGGGATCCAGGACCCCAGTTGGGACAGAGGAGATCCACCGATCCCTAATAAGCATGTGGTGAAAATCGACTAATTCGTAGTTAGAGAACATTTGCTTTAGACGATAGGAACCATCAGACTGCATGCATTTAAGCAAGATCTGTAAAACTGTTATGCATCTAAAACTCAAGCTTTTAAGCATGACCAAAGTGGATGAACAACCAAAACTTTCCGCAGACTGTTGGTTCTTCACCCTTAAGACGGACCTACTAGGACTTCGAAGGAAACGAACTCTAATAAGACGCCTTTTACGACACGTTTACTGTGGAGGCTGTGGGTTTGTCCTTTTTCCCTCCGCGAAGTCCACACAGGGATCTCATGACCCCAGTTTTTGTGCTGCTTATTTTCATGTGGTACTCTGTGCAGTTATCTTCTTCTTCTTTCTTCTTTGCGTTCACCAGCTGCACACTCTGGTGGAAAGCTCTGGTTGTTCGTCCATTTCTGGACTACAGTCCTATTCCAGAACCTGAGTGTTGCGCGTGTATCCGTTTGACAGATCTTTGTGTGTAGACTGTTAGTTCTTTGCCTCTAAGGCAGATTCACTCCGACTTCGAAGGAAGCTTCCAATTAGTCGATTCTTACGACAAGATTTTGGGTAGGCAGTGAGTCTATTCTTGTTTTCCCTGTAACAGAGCCCCAGAACACACACGGGGATGTGCAGTTAAAGGACAGGGAGTCAGTGTTGTAGGTTCTGGTCTGGTTGACATGTTAGACTCTGGGAGCAACAGTCCATCGATGTCCTAGTGCCTGCGTCTCTATTTGTAACCACATAAATAATGACACGACATGGTTTCAATGGTGGTATTGAAACGTAAGCTGTTGAACAGTGGCGGCGTCTGTGGCTCAGGCGTTGCGAGTCCGACTCGTAATTCCAACTTACCGCAGTCGAAACCCACTGCTGGCTCTGTGGATTTTTATGATGGTAAGGGGCTTCGCAGGTCGTCCCAGCCTAAAATGGATACCAGAATGTATGTCCTGGAGAAGTAAAGGTGGTCGGCGTAATGCTGACCACATTACCCACCTAGTGCCGATTGGTTTGTAAAAATATGGGGTGCTCATCCCCTATGCCTGATGCGCCTTAAGGCGTGAAAAGGAATCTACTGTTGAAAAGTAAGTAGAACATAACCGTCGCACCCCCCCCCCCCACCCCCATCCGTAGCTGTGTACTCAAGATCACAGGTCGAGTCAACAAGGCAGTGCTTGTTCCTCTTTCTGCGAGAAATCAACACCGAGTTTCTGACAAGTCTTGTCACGCGTGGTTTCTTATTTGTTCCGTTACAACCAGGTATGGTTAGACAGACAATTCATTGTACTGGTTGCTCCTGGTGGTTTGGGTAATGCCATAAGGTCACTTTAACGATAACAACAACAATGACAACATAACACAGAGAAACGGGGTCCTTATAAGCTCTGAGAATTGTACAACTTGGGAAAACAAAAGGGCCCTGACAGTTGTGCTCGTACAGAGAGGTGGTTAGGCTTTCATTAGCTGCCGGGTGTCGGGGAAATACAATCAAGAGCCCTTTTGCATACACTGAGACACAGCTATGTTTTACACACCAACCAGCAGTATATGGGTAACATGGACTGAATCATTCAGGCTGCCTTCCCTTCCCAGAACATTCCCTGGCACTTATCTAAGATTGTGTTGACCTGACGGCGAAGCTTAATTTAAAATTAAAAAAAACCCCCACTTTTAAGTGGGTTCAAACACACAACCTCTGCCGACAAGAGGGTGGGGGTGGGAGTTCTATCTTATGTTGTCTTAAGTTAAGTTGAGTGGAGTCAAGAATTGACATTACAGCACTCGGGGCATTCCCAAGCGCGCTCAGTCCTCATCTCTAGCAGCCAGTGCAGAGTTCCAATACTGATGGTACCGGTCACAATCTGGTTAATTGTCCGTCTTGTCTTTCCTCTGAGTGTAGAGAGCCGGCCAGACCTTCTGGTTATACCCAGGTGCCTTATTCTCTCCAGGCCATAATAATCGTGTTGTTCCACTGATGTTGTCTTAAGATAGCAGTTACATTTTTCAGATAGCCATATGGAAAATAACAAATATTTGCTCAAACATTCTAGGGTCGGATATCAGATGTATTGCCAGTAACAGGTAACTGGTAAAAATGTAAACCTATAGACGTGGTGTACGTACATACAATCACAGCTGACAGGAAGGAGGGGTGTGGGGGGGGGGGGGGGGGGGGGGGGTTTATTTTTTTAATGGTTTTTAATTATATGTTCTCTTAAGATAGCAGTTCATGTCAATAGACAATAGAAAGCCACATGGAAAATAACAAGTATTTGTTGAAACACTTCAGTTGTTTTCTTCTCTCTCTCTCTCTCTCTCTCTCTCTCTCTCTCTGTCTCTCTCTCTATCTCTCTATCTCTCTCTCTCTCTCTCTCTCTCTCTCTCTCTCTCTCATACATATAGATATATGTCCATCAGTGTGTCATACTAGGGCTTCATTTCTCTCAACAATAGATACTATATACATGTTATATACACGTTTATGTGTTTATTCTGCAATTGTTCTATTTCCCTGAAGATGCAAGGTCTCCATGGAACAACCAGATCAACATGTTAATGTCGTACAGACTGGACGGAGACATGTTTTATCCCTACTACAAACTCAGGTTTAATCCCAAACCTATGGACCAGCGACCCAACTATTGTAAGTAACAGTTTTCAGTTCTGATGACAACATTCTGATCACAGCTCCAGGGCCCTAAGCCTAATTTAAGAGCATAATAATAACAAACAATACAACGATAGTTGAAATACAATGAACTGGTTAAGCGAATGTGTTTATAGATAATTTACATGCACGGCTAAACGAGGTAACTTATCCATCCTCACTATTATTGGGCCAGGGGAGGGTGTGGGCTGGGGGGGAGGGGACATCAAGTGTCCTGAACCCCCAGGTTGAGGCGCCTCTAGTTTTGATGAAGAAGAACAACTGGTATGTATGTGAATCACTGGGTTAGGTTTATGCAAATCTCCCCAAAGTAGGTCACTTTTAATTCACAGGTTTTTGGGATGGTCGACTATCCTGAAGCTTACAGGTGTCCCCCCCCCCTTTTTTTTTTCTTTTGATTGCTTTCTGTGTTGTCTTGCATTTACGTTTTAATTCCGAGAAAGAGAATGCCTGTGACATAGGTTGCAGCACTCTCTAGGGGGTTGTGTTAGGTCCATGTTTTTGGATCGTTAAAATCGCTGGCGTACTGAAATATATAACACGCGATATCAACGGCATCACGAACACCCCCGTAACCTTGTGCCAAGTGTGTATATGAGCGGAACATGGGAAGGTTAACATTACTTTTACCAATCACTGTTAGTTTTACTGAATAAACAATGAGAGGTTTAACTGCATGGCAGAGTCTGCCGGTAATAATGCAAAGTGTTGGCTGACGGGTAGACTTGAGTGAGTACTTGTGCTCTGTATAGAGACCCAAACATAATGTGGGGGGGGGGGGGGTGTGGGGGGTTGCAGAAGAAGGTGTTGTGTGATTTACTTTCTCAGTATGAGTTGGTTCCTAATTATGAGCTTATATAGTCAGGGGTCGGAAGGTCGTGGGTTCGCGCCCTGGCGGAGACGGACTTTTCTTCAAAAATGACCTTGGCTCCCAGGTCGACCCAGCCTTAAGTGGGTACCGGGTGCAATCCCGGGAAGTAGAGGCGGCCGGCGTGATGCTGACCACATCACCCATCTTGTGCCGTTGGTCTTTAAAAATATAGGTCTAGCCCTATATGCCCTTTACGCCTAAAGGCGTGGAAAAGGGTCCTTTACTTTACTTTACTTATAGTCAGGGGTATTGCTGTATCAATATCGAACAAACTGAAATCCACGAAACTGTTTATTTGATTGATTGGCTGATAAACTCACCAGCTGATAACACAAGTTCCTGATATTAAACAGCTACCTGTCAAACGTCAAAGTGCAGGAGAGACAGCTGTACACATATGACGTGATTGTAATTGACTCACAGAGCATGCTAAGAAAGGTGGAGACAGGCATGCTTCATACAGAGTGGCAAGCATCACTTCAGAGACCCCGGGTAGTTAACATCCTTTGGATATTTTCTTCAGGTCATGGCAGTGTGTTGGGAAATGAGCAGGCAGATAGACTGGCCGGCTTTGCACCAATTGGTGGTGAATTGATGTATGACAAGCTAGATGTTGTGAGGGCCGTTTGGTAGCGAGTAAACACTGCGGAGGCGCAGATAGATCATTACGGTCTAAGTAGAATGGCGCTGTAAAGAGATGGTTCCGAGGGAATCTGGCCGACGCTCAACACTCAAGGAAGGAAGAGACGGATATACAATCAGGCGGTTACTAGTACCATCAAAATTATAACTCCTTGTTAACTGCTGAAGATGGGGATTGAGCACTTATGGGAGTGTCCTGTGTGCTGTGATGTCGATTCCTAATTCAACATTCAACATTTAATCTGCAGGAATGTCTAACAACGCATCGATTATAAATACCTCTACGCAAAATAAGCGCAACTTTTTATTCAAATTGTAAAGAAAAAAAAAAGTTGACTTTTTCAGTTTGTTTTTGTAAATGATTTCACAGACCTCTTAAATGTGTCCAGAAGGTCACCAATTGGGAACTAGGATCTAAATAACTGACAATACTGTTTCAGGTGTAGATAATATACATAAGCTGTTGACTTTGGTATTTTTTTTCCACAGATGAGATCGCTAGGAGAACAACGCGAACAGCGGTGTGGTTGGTTAGCAATTGTAAGACTCCGTCCAGGAGGTCTCAGTACGTACAGGAAATGCAGGTTTGTAGAATTCGTTGAGCTGTTCTATAAGGAATGCACGTTCTAGAAGAGGAATAACGATAGACGAAAAAGAAGAAGAAAAAGAAGAAGAAAGAAGACGAAGAAGAAGAAAACCACGACGAAGAAGAAGAACAAAGAAGAAGAAGAAGAACAAAGAAGAAGAAGAAGAAGAAGAAGAAGAAGAAGAAGAAGAAGAAGAAGAAGAAGAAGAAGAAGAAGAAAAAGAAATAATAATAATAATATTAATAATAATAATAATAATAATAATAATATGAAGAAAGAAGAATAAGAAGAAGAAGAAGAAGAAGAAGAAGAAGAAGAAGAAGAAGAAGAAGAAGAAGAAGAAGAAGAAGAAGAAGAAGAAGAAGAAGAAGAAGAAGAAACATAAGAAAAATAAGAAAGAAGATAAAAAAAAAAGAAGAAGAAGAAGAAGAAGAAGAAGAAGAAGAAGAAGAAGAAGAAGAAGAAGACGAAGAAGAAAGAAGAAGAAGAAGAAGAAGAAGAAGAAGAAAAAAAAGAAGAAAAGAAGAAGAAAGAAGAAGAAGAAGAAGAAGAAGAAGAAGAAGAAGAAGAAGAAGAAGAAGAAGAAGAAGAAGAAGAAGAAGAAGAAGAAGAAGAAGAAGAAAGAATAATAATAATAATAATAATAATAATAATAATAATAATAAAAATAATAATAATAATAATAATAATAATAAGAAGAAAAACAACAACAACAACAACAACAACATCATCAACAACAGCAACAAGAGAAGAAAGAGTAATGGAGAAGAAGTATGAGGAGCAAAAAAACTAAGAAACCGACTAGAAGGAAGGGAAATAGGTAGCGCTGGTGGAGGCGAAAGAGATGTGGTGTCCATGGTCTTTTAACAATGCTAGAGGGTTTGACAAAGTGTTTCATGTTTTAGGCGCAGGGAAACTCACAGCTCAACCTCCAGGTGGTTAGGCAAGGATAACCCTCAAAACCAGAGGTAAATAAACCTGTGCAGGTGTAGAGTTCAAAGGAAACTACCATATTATCTCCCCAATGTTGAATATAGCGACATAGATCGGGATCAGAAACAGTTATCTAAAAGATTTTACACCCTGAGATAACAAAAACTGAACCTGGATGGCAGAACAAAAGGCAAATCCCAGATACCCGGTTCAAACTGCAAAGAAGTTACATCTGTGTTACAAGCCCGGTGTAACCGAGTCTTGGGTGGGTAAGGACGAACATCCGCTCGGAAGGCACACTGGCCACAGAAGGCATCAGACTGTGATGATTTCGGGTGGTATGAAGCTACGGCAACGGCGTTGGCAGAAGAAGGATCTACCACCACAAAAGGGCAGATGGTGCTACAGGCAAGAAAGGAAACGACGGATAGTAAGCAGACAATCAATCCAAGATGAATCTTTCTACGGACTACCCAAGAAACACTCCTGATGGCAGCTGGCACTTCATAGCCAAGGACCCAGACAAATATGGCTGGCCAAACACGACACAGGTGGCACAACACAGGGGCAGAAAAAAACACACCACACAACAACAATCAAGTTAAGGAAGAAAAAAAAACCTACGCATATTGGGCATATAGGGCTAGATCTTTTTTATAGACCAATCGGAACTCGGTAGGTGACATACTCAGCATCACGCCGGCCACCTTTACATCCCAGGACTGGACTCAGAGATCTATGGAGGGACATGAACACCTAGGCTAGTTTGTAGTCATCCACGTTCTGTTAATGTTTGTCCACATATCGAGCTGCTGTCTGGTTTAACATCACCTAGTTTATTGATTATGATCGGCTGATCCAACAGCTAAACTGTCAATACATACTGGGAGGAAAGGGGGGGGGGGGGGGGGCGGACACCAGTATCATAAATGTCATTGGAAGACAAGACCCACGCGTACTGGTTAAAAAACTACAGGTCCGTCGTGATCATGTCAGGATATTTCAATCAATCGGGTGGCGTCTCCACAGTGTAGGTTGTCATACAATTGATTTATATCAGACTGTCTCGTTTGAAGGTATGAAGTTACTTTAAACAAGTTTTGAATGTAAAAAATATATTGACAGGTTACCCGTGTAATGTCTCCCACAATCCCGTCTTGGCTATGAGTATTAACACTTGTTTTCTCCCTTGTAAACTTTCTCCCCACCGTGAAGGCCCTAAGTAATCCAAAGAGGCTGAGAATGTACTAAAAGAATGGGAATGCGGAGAGTCCGATAATAATAGCAGCGTCATTTAGAACGGCCAAAACAAAACAAAAAGGAACGTGTCGATGGTAGTACAGTGCCGTATACTAACTATTGGTAAAAATAAATCAATTACTGGGAAATTTTACAGACAACTTTAAAATACAATAAGAAATGAAAGAAAGGGCAATATCAAAATTGTGATAGGTGACTTGAAAGCTAATACCGGAGCAGATAATAACACAAGTTATGAAGAAATGAGAACACATTGACTTACTAACCAGAGTCTGTATGCAGGGAACAGAAGTGATTGACGGAAGCATTTTACCACATATGAGAATAAACAAGGCAGCGTGGAAATAATCAGATCATAAGACAACCAATGAAAATGATTCAATCCGTGTAACGAAACAAAATGTAGATTTGCACGTACGATTTTAGGGTTTTATAAGTGCAAATGTATTTAATGACCACGATCTGAGATAACTTGAATCTAGTTGACACTCTGGATATATAAAACATCCTGCAATAGCAAAAACAAAAATAACATACAATATCTCAGGCATAAAGAAGTTGGGGAACACTTTTTGGTTTTTTGGTTACAGTCTCATAGATGCTGCAACACGTATCTGAAAAGTTCAGCACTGAAGTCTGATGTAGACAGATCAAAGGAATTTGGAATAAATGATGTTTTATTTTTATACATAAGTCCTTGGTAAAAGAAAACGGACAAATAAGTTGTTGATAACCCCTGAAACCATTGAAAAAATTAAAGATAGCATAAGCAAAAATGCGAAACCTAAACAACAGCAGAACTAAAGCTGCTTAAGCTTTCATGAAACATACACAAGTGAATAAGGAAGTTATTAAGCTAATAAGAACAGATAAAAGGACACAATTAAATGACCTAGCAAAAAAAAAAAAAAAAAATTAAAACACGGAGACATCAGCAAGAAAATGGAAACCTCAGAACAGTTAGAGCCCCACAAGGAATGTGCAGTCTAGAAATAGCCAACAGATCGACTACTTCAAAATGGTTAAGGAAAGGCTCTGACCAACGCTAAAGATCATGCACACATGGGAATATTTTAAAGAACGTCAGCTTTTAGGAATTAAACTAAGTGTCAATAGTGAAACGCCGTCTAAAGAGGAAATTATGAAAGCTATCAATCTATTGAAAGAATGGAAGGCTGCAGGTCCAGATGGTATTACAGAGTGTTGAATGTTGTGCTATGAACTGACATCCTAGCACTCGGGATTTTTCCATAAGCGCTGCGTCCTCATGTTCAGCAGCCAGCGAAGAATTAGTTCCAGCGGTATCGGTAGCAGTTTGATTATGTGTCCGTCTTGCCTTTCCTCTGAGTGTAGAGGGTCCACCTGATCCACTTGTAACTACAAGCTGCGCTTTTCTCTCCAGACCAGAATGATCGATTCGTGCCTCTGCACTGTTCACTTACTCCCAAAAGAACCTGACCATATTTAGCTTGTTATGCGTAACTTCACCACCCATTGGAGCAGAACCAGACAGTCTGTCTGACTGTTAATTTCCAAACACCCCCGCATGCCACAGAGAAAATATCAAAAGAACGCCAACTACCTGGGAACTCTGAACGATGCTTGCGTATTCCGAAGAGCATGCTTGTCTCCACTTTTCTTAACTGTTGTGTAAGCCGGTTATAATCACTTGTACGTACAGCTGGGTCTGAAATCAGTGAAATAGCGAGTATAAAGACAACAACCGAAAGCATCTGAAATGGAATTCAATAGACCCTACAATACAGCTTGATGACCCGGAATTTTGTCTTCTATCCCCCTCAAATACAAGACATAAAAAATACGGGTAAGAGATGCACACAAATCCATAAGGGAGAGACAAGGATAATGAGAATAAACAATGCAGATAGTAATATAATTTCTTTAAGTAATATCATACCCCAAGATGTGGAATCATATACCCATCTGGGCAGAAATAAAGATAAAGATGGAGGAACTCATAGACAATACAATGTGAACACAAAAGGCTAGAGGAAATATGGAAATAAAAGGAATTTACAATTGGAACTTAACTTAAAACTATTTAATTCTGATGTCAAATAGTAATGGTGTATGGAGCGATTACACGGATCACGATCAAACCGTTATCTGATAAACTACAAAACTTCATTCACTAATGCTTGCAGAGAGCAGGAAGGATTAACTGCTTTGATACAATCACTACTGCTGATCTTTGAGTGAGAACTAAATAAATATCAGTGAAATCAAAAGTCATTGAAAAAAAAAAGGACGCCGGCTTTGGACAAGACGCTTTTTCTTCTTCGTCTTCTTCTTCATCTTTTCTTTCGTCTTCTTCTTCATCTTCTCCTTCGTCATCTTCTCCTTCGTCTTCTTTTCCATGTTCTTCTTCGTCATCTTCTCCTTTGTCATCTTTTCCTTCGTCATCTTCTCCTTCATCTTCTTCTCCTTCGTCTTCTTCTCCTTCTCCTTCTTCTCCTTCTCCTTCGTCTTCTTCTCCTTCTCCTTCGTCTTCTTCTCCTTCGTCTTCTTTTCCTTCGTCTTCTTCTCCTTCGTCTTCTTCTCCTTCTTCTCCTTCTCCTTCGTCTTCTTCTCCTTCTCCTTCCTCTCCTTCTCCTTCGTCTCCTTCTCCTTCGTCTTCCTCTCCTTCTCCTTCTTCTCCTTCTCCTTCGTCTTCTTCTCCTTCTCCTTCTTCTCCTTCTCCTTCGTCTTCTTCTCCTTCTCCTTCGTCTTCTTCTCCTTCGTCTTCTTCTCCTTCTCCTTCGTCTTCTTCTCCTTCGTCTTCCTCTCCTTCTCCTTCTTCTCCTTCTCCTTCGTCTTCTTCTCCTTCGTCTTCTTCTCCTTCGTCTTCTTCTCCTTCGTCTTCTTCTCCTTCGTCTTCCTCTCCTTCGTCTTCTTCTCCTTCGTCTTCTTCTCCTTCGTCTTCCTCTCCTTCGTCTTCTTCTCCTTCGTCTTCTTCTCCTTCGTCTTCTTCTCCTTCGTCTTCTTCTCCTTCGTCTTCTTCTCCTTCGTCTTCCTCTCCTTCGTCTTTCTCTCCTTCGTCTTCTTCTCCTACGTCTTCTTCTCCTTCGTCTTCTTCTCCTTCGTCTTCTTCTCCTTTGTCTTCTTCTCCTTCGTCTTCTTCTCCTTCGTCTTCCTCTCCTTCGTCTTCTTCTCCTTCGTCTTCTTCTCCTTCGTCTTCTTCTCCTTCGTCTTCTTCTCCTTCGTCTTCCTCTCCTTCGTCTTCTTCTTCTTCGTCTTCTTCTCCTTCGTCTTCTTCTCCTTTGTCTTTTTCTTCTTCGTCTTTTTCTTCTTCGTCTTCCTCGCCTTCGTCTTCTTCTCCTTCGTCTTTTTCTTTTTCGTCTTTTTCTTCTTTGTCCTTCCTCTCCTTCGTCTTCTCCTTCGTCTTCTTCTCCTTCGTCTTCCTCTCCTTCGTCTTCTTCTTCTTCGTCTTCTTCTCCTTCGTCTTCTTCTCCTTTGTCTTTTTCTTCTTCGTCTTTTTCTTCTTCGTCTTCCTCTCCTTCGTCTTCTTCTCCTTCGTCTTTTTCTTCTTCGTCTTTTTCTTTGTCTTTTTTCTTCTTCGTCTTCTTCTCCTTCGTCTTCTTGTCCTTCGTCCTCTTCTCCTTCGTCTTCTTCTCCTTCGTCTTCTTCTCCTTCGTCTTCCTCTCCTTCGTCTTCTTCTCCTTCGTCTTCTTCTCCTTTGTCTTCTCCTTCGTCTTCTCCTTCGTCTTCTCCTTCGTCTTCTCCTTCGTCTTCTCCTTCGTCTTCTCCTTCGTCTTCTCCTTCGTCTTCTCCTTCGTCTTCTCCTTCGTCTTCTCCTTCGTCTTCTCCTTCGTCTTTTTCTTCTTCGTCTTTTTCTTCTTCGTCTTTTTCTTCTTCGTCTTCGTCTTCTGCTTCGTCTTCGGCTTCGTCTTCGGCTCCGGCTCCTTCTCCTTCTTCTTTTCTTCTCCTTCTTCTTTTCTTCTCCTTCTCCTCCCTTTTCTCCTCTTCTCCTCCTCCTCCTTTCCACCTCCTCCTGCTCCTGCTGCTCCTCCTGCTTCTTCTGCTTTTTCTTTATCTTCTGCATTCCAGCATGTTGAGATTCATTGCTGCAGATATCACTCGCCTCCACTCATTTTCCTGGTTGTCCATCTTTCATATTATCGATTTGCATGCGGCCGCCCTTTATATCTTTTCCCTGTTGTTATTATCCTGTATTCTGTCTTATCTTGATTTATAAATATTACTATTTTATGAGCTGCCTCTTTAAAAAGAGTCAGTGTTTTTACCGTCTCTAGTTATTTTGTTCAGCAATATCAATGGCATCTGCATAACCAAGAATTCATAGTTTCTCCTACAGTAAACTATTCTTTCAATTACCTTGTAATTTTCATATATTAGTCATCCTCATGTGTGATGCAATTTTTCGTTATGATAAGCCCCACCCTGGCTTCTGCCGGTGGCCCTGAATATAGCCTGGGCGTAGATATTGCCTAGCCATAGATATTGGCTAACGGCTGAATGGGGTGTCTGGGACCTCTCCACGGGTGATCCTCATCCGCTTGGCGGCACTTTGTGTCACCAGGTGTTTATCGCTTGTGTGATGTCCTGGTAGGGGTAACAGGTCAGTCAGTCAGGTCAGTCTGATCCAGGAAGAAGCTGAAAAAAAAAACAGGCACTTAGCACCTTTTTGCGTTTAAGCCAGATGTTATTTGGAAAGGGTCTGATTATCGGCCTTTTTTTTTTTTTTTTTTTTTGCTATTATATTAAAAGTGTTTTGGACAAGATACGCGTTCAGAAAACTTGATAACAATATTACTACACGGGGTTTAAACCGGAACCGACAAGGGCATATAAATAAAGGCAAACTAAGTAACCGACAAAGGGAACTTGAGAGGGAAGTTAATAAGACTGGGATGTCGTATGATGAGCTGCATGCAATAGCGCGAGTTGATTGTGGGCCGTTGGGAGATAAGGGCATAGTTAGAAGTGTTTGTGATTTTTTTTCATGACACTTAATACCAAGTATTTCATGTAGGCATCGCATGTGAAAACCTGATTAAAACTCTTCTATGTTCCCCAGAAATTCATTGACGTTGATATATTTGGAGGCTGCGGGACTCCTTGTAAAGGCAAAGTGTGCAACGACTGGACCACTAAATATAAATTCTACCTGGCCTTCGAGAATTCTCTATGTACAGACTACGTCAGCGAGAAATTCTTCAAGTTATTTGATCAAAATACACATGTGATCCCAGTTGTCAGGGGCGGCGCTGATTACGACAAACATTTCCCTAACTTTACCTACGTCAACTCTGCTCACTTTAAAACGGCTAAAGATTTGGCTCTTCACTTAAAACATTTGGCTTCAGATTTGGAAACCTACAGCAAGTACCTGGAGTATAAAGATCTGTATTCACTAGTCCCCTTCATGACAGCCGCTTGTAAAATCTGCACTTTTTTACACACACACAGACTGCCTAAACCTTCACAGACTTACAATTTAACATCACGGCTAGGAGTTAAACATTGTCGTAGTCCCACTGACTTGTCATAGTCCAAACAAAATATGCACACACTCTAGTGAGTATGCGATCTGTTCGGTTTGCTACAACTGAAAGTCATTTTTGTAAGGACATCGGAAGTTGTGTTTGGAAACTTAAGCACGTACGTATAATTGCAGAGATAAATGATTCCACAATGGGGCGGTTCATCAATGCATAAATCTTCTGCAGCTGACAGCAACTGAATGAATTGTGTGAACGTTCCTAGTCAAGCAGACACTGTGTCTAGATAATGTGCGTGGAGTTAGAATTGGCTATTATGTTTGCTAGACAGTTTTGGCGAATTTATGTTTGATGAACCAACCGCAAGCTGGCCACTTGGTCAAGGTTTGCCGACTGATCTAATAGGCTACCGTAGCGACTACAAATATATCCAAGTTCGAATCTCACAGTACCCGTTGCATAGTCACCATTTTCTTCTTGTACCTGTCCAAAAACATTCTGTAATTCGTGCAGCAAGGGGCAGATCAAAGCCTGGATTCATGTCCCAGGTTGGCCCACCCTCTGAAATTGTCTAGGAGTTCGTGGGCCAAAACAATGTTTGACGAGGGATCTTCTATTGATGATTGGTAGACTCCTGCTGTACATGCTTCCCTGTGGAGTTCTTATTACTCCGTTCAGCCGCTAGAACACAGTAATCTTCTATTAAAAAACAACACCACAGGAGAGCAGGTACACACACTAATCATCGAGTGTCTTGCTGTATGAGATTGTGTAGACTTTGACCTTCCTCCTTAGACCTCGGTGGTGAGTATTTTGGATCAATTCTGTTGATGGCACTCTACCTTGCTTGTGTCCAGCATCACTATGAGGTGGTATCAATCACTTGTGGCTTACAGTTGCCTTTGACCACAGTCTCCAACTGCCAGGACTAGCGAATGCCCGCCCATCTTAGCTACTGAACTGTACACTTATATGGATGGCAGTTCAGATCCCAGATATGCATGTGAAACACAACTGAGTTGCTTGTCTTCCACCACTTGGAGGTCCAGCTGGGTGTTTACTTTAGTAAAAAATAAGACCATGGTGATTGTCACGTACTGTCCAGTACTTTTAGATGACGCTGGGCACTACTTGTCACGTACTGTCCAGTACTTTCAGATGACACTGGGCACTACCTGTCACGTACTGTCCAGCACTTTCAGATGACACTGGGTACTACCTGTCACGTACTGTCCAGCACTTTCAGATGACACTGCGTACCACTTGTCACGTACTGTCCAGCACTTTCAGATGACACTGGGTACTACCTGTCACGTACTGTCCAGCCCTTTCAGATGACACTGGGTACTACTTGTCACGTACTGTCCAGCACTTTCAGATGACACTGGGTACTACTTGTCACGTACTGTCCAGAACTTTTAGATGACGCTGGGTACTACAAGTCGTCTCCATCGTCGGCTTCTACTTTTCTCCGCAGAACGAACTTCTTCAACCCCAGACTATTGCTGACTGGTTTGATCTCTCAGTTACAGTTATCGACGGGTTGAAGTAGAATACTTGTCTGATTGTTATTGTCAATGTTTATAAAACCATCAGAGCAGCGGATGGAACCTTGGATTAGTTCGAGGTGCGAAAGAGATCAAGCCAGGTGTGCCTTCTATCACCATACCTATTCAATATGTATGCAGAAATTATATTGATAAATGTTCAAAAATGAAGTTTAATTTTAGTGGCTTGGAAAAGACGGTGATGGAGGATGCAGTTTTTGGAAGGGGAGGCAGGGGTCGACCACCTCAAAGCTGGATGTAGGACTGAAGATGCATTGAAAGCACATAGGGGACGGAGAGCTGGCTAGGCAACAGGGATACTTTCAAGCTTGCCGTGAAGAGAGCGACGTTCTGTAAAGTGCTTGATGATTGATGATGATGAAGTTTCTTTGGAAGTGAACTCTCCTCTCCAAAAATTAACCTCCCCTGCTCCTCCCTTCTCATCACCATCCTGGTAGGCAGGCTACTCCCCCAGCAAGGTCAAGTGGGGCTGAATTTGATGTATTTATTGTAATTGCTATTGTATTTATGTATTAAAGGTTAGTTGTGTATCCTTTACAGGACGTTGCAGAACCAACCCCCACAGCCCCTGCTGTTGTGTGGTTTTTCTAGGCAAATTTACGTCCAGTAGTTTGCCATTGCTTTCTAGACGGTCTGCTTTCTTGATACCACTGTCGAAACCAACATGGCCCGCAGCTGGGATCGAACCCGACATCCCGGCATTACGAAGCGTTCGCATCGACTTAGCCACAGAGCCGACATTTATGTATTGAACCGGAGTCCCGGGTTCGATCCCAGCTGCGGACGATTTGTCTTGCGTTGGTTTCGACAGTGGTACCGAGAGCTGACCGTTCAGTAAACTTTTCAAACCATAGAACGTAAAATGTGCTTAGAAAAACCCCAACAGACAAAATATGCTGGAGTTGGTTCTACAATGTCCTGTAAAGGATAGGCAACTAACGTTGTATACAACCCCGTTAATGCTTTAATATGCAAATGTAATTACAATATGGTTATTTTAAAAAAGCAACGGACTCACCCTTCTCCTTTTATTTCTTATAGGAAAATAAGATTTGTTTACTTCTTTTTGGTATGCGTACTGTTTGGTAGACGTCCTGTTTGGTAAACGTACTGTTTGGTAAACGTACTGTTTGGTAGACATCCTGTTTAGTATACGTCGTGTTTGGTATATGTCCAAGGATCACGGACAGATTAAAGACGTATACCAAGGTGCCATTGTATATTTTAATCATTATTTGCAATTCAAATTATTATTATTAAGCATTCAAATAAGGCACGGGCGCCACCTTTCCTAGAAAACATATAAAGGGGCTGAGGGCCCCCTCCCTGGCACAATGATTGCTTTATGTCAGCGCCCCTGCCTGAAGCTGCCGATGAATTCTTTGTAACCGCAGCAGGCGCCCCGCCACGAAGAAAACATTGGAGGATGCGGGGAGACGTGTTCGCCAGTTCTCTAAGAATGTTTGAGGGTGCACAGCCCTCTGATGATTTTCTAGGGGCTGGGTGGCTCAGCCCTCGTATCATGTTCTAAGGGGCGGGGCTTCAAAGGGTTTACGCCTTGTTTAATGGCACAATAATAATAGTTATTATTAATTGTGTTCTGAACGGCTTATTAATATCACAATATATTAAAATATCACGAAATAAATAAACAAATGCTTCAACTGAGAACGTTTAAAAATATACATAGAAAGGTTGGGGGGGGGGGGGGGGGGGGGGGCTTTATTTCCTTTAAAAAAAAGTAATGTGTAACGGGGGGAGGGGGGCTTAGCCTAGCCTAAACATTTTACGGCCCGGGGAGGGAGGGGGAAGCACGGCTCAAACTACCTAATCTCCCATTTTCGGCGAGCAGCAGTATTTACCACCTCATTGGTGATTGTGTGATTGTTTGTATGTGTGTGTTTGTGTTTAAGTAGACTGATTCCCCTTCTGTGTCGATGTATTTGTGGTGTCATCGGGTTAGTAAGCCTGTGCATTGAATGCTTCCAGGGGCCTGCAAATTCTGTCTGTCTACCTGTCCCGTGTGTTTTGTGTGTGGAAAAGTGTTTGGCTTCTGTGAATTGTAATAATCTATATCAGGGCGCACGTTAACTACAACATAATGTCAACATGCTAAATAATGTAAATATGAAATGTTGATTTATACCAGTGTTTATAAAAGTGGGCGCTTGGACGGTCCTGGTGCGGTAGCTGCCTCGAATAAACTGGAAAAAAGGGGCGGGGAGGGGGCGCGTGAACTGGCCATGTGTAGTTTTGGGGCAGTTAATAAAACCTAAGGAGGTGAGAGAGAGAGAGAGAGAGAGAGAGAGAGAGAGAGAGAGAGAGAGAGAGAGAGTTCGGTGTCGTCTCCCCAATGGAGGTTGACTACAGTGTATCACTGTTCTACTTGGGAATATTACGTGCTGGGGCTATAGTCTCTTCCACGGTGCGACTCTTGCACCTTGTCCGAAAAGCACGAGAACGGATCTTTACCTGTCCACCGCGGACAACCAACCACGGAACTTGAGAATTATGAAATTGTTAACTGCCTTCCAAACCCCGAGCTTGTCATAGAGCTAGCCCTTGCATATAATGTACATGCACGGACGGAGTTGCCCGAGTCAGCTTATCCAATTTATCCGGTTTTAGCGCGCGCGCGCACACACACACACACACACACACACACACACACACACACACACACTAACACACAATGATGATGAGAATATGCAATAAGCTTTGAGATATTTCCCACATATGTAAGAGTAAGTTTTACCTTTGGCTTCCACAGCACCTTATACAGGATAGTTAGCCCCATGGACTTTAAGCTGCTTAAAAAACATGTTTAGATTTCGTTCCCATCTTTATATAGAATACTGGGTTTCGACAATACCTTATTCAGGGTCGCCGACCTTTAAAGACTATCGGTTAAAAAGGAAAAGTGTGTCCATACAATAATGGGATGCTATGTCGATTCTCTAACACATTGTACAGGGTGGTTAGTCCTTGGGACTTAGAGAAATGTTAATATGTGTTTCCACAGAACCGCGGACTAGCCCATGCTTCTCTAGTCTTTGCAGACTTTGCTTGTGACTTCTTGAATTAGCGCTGCCTAACTGTTCTACTGCTTATCCAGTCGTAGCACAACACAGCTTAAGTTCTCAGACCCACATGCACGTACTCTTTCACCATACTGTTGAACAGTATCCCAGGAATTCCGCCCTCGTCACTAGGTCAGCCTAACTGCCAATTACTGCCTTGTGATGTAAAGGGGAAAGGGGGGGGGGAGGTCTTTGAGCCTGAGGATTTACGGCCGCATGGCTAGTGTTGTCGCCACGACTGTGCAAGTGATGATTTGTTTTTAAGCCTCCAACAGAAAAAAAACCTAGCTTTACCAAGGATTCGAACCCGGGTCAGCCGCGTGAGAGCCCAGCGTTCTAACCGTTCGCCACGTCGCTATGTCAACTGTCCCTATTGAAGATATTAAACTCTGACTCAGTACA